GTCCAAGCCCCTTACCCACAAAACCTCCTTTACCCCCTCTCTCCAACCCTTTCGAGGACGACCCCTACCCCGCCTTCCTTCCCCTATAGATTTATATGCTTTCCATGTCATTCTACTGTGATCCATTCTCTCTAAATGACCAAACCACCTCAACAACCCCTCTTCTGCCCTCTGACTAATACTTTTATTAACTCACCACCTTCTCCTAATTTCCACACTCCGAATTTTCTGCATATATTTACACCACACATTGCCCTTAAACAGGACATCTCCGCTGCCTCCAACCGTCTCCTCGCTGCTGCATTTACCACCCAAGCTTCACACCCATATAAGAGTGTTGGTACTACTATACTTTCATACATTCCCTTCTTTGCCTCCATAGATAACGTTTTTTGACTCCACAATATACCTCAACGCACCACTCAACCTTTTTCCCTCATCAATTCTATGATTAACCTCATCCTTCATAAATCCATCCGCCGACACGTCAACTCCCAAGTATCTGAAAACATTCACTTCTTCCATACTCCTCCTCCCCAATTTGATATCCAATTTTTCTTTATCTAAATCATTTGACACCCTCATCACCTTACTCTTTTCTATGTTCACTTTCAACTTTCTACCTTTACACACATTCCCAAACTCATCCACTAACCTTTGCAATTTTTCTTTAGAATCTCCCATAAGCACAGTATCATCAGCAAAAAGTAACTGTGTCAATTCCCATTTTGAATTTGATTCCCCATAATTTAATCCCACCCCTCTCCCAAACACCCTAGCATTTACTTCCTTTACAACCCCATCTATAAAATATATTAAACAACCATGGTGACATTACACATCCCTGTCTAAGACCTACTTTTACCGGAAGTAGTCTCCCTCTCTTTCTACACACCCTAACCTGAGCCTCACTATCCTCATAAAAACTCTTTACAGCATTTAATAACTTACCACCTATTCCATATACTTGCAACATCTGCCACATTGCTCCTCTATCCACTCTATCATATGCCTTTTCTAAATCCATAAATGCAATAAAAACTTCCCTATCTTTATCTAAATACTGTTCACTATTTATAATGTTCAATGTAAACCCTGATCTACATCCCCTAACCACACTTATAAACCTCCTTGCTCATTCCGCAATCCACATTCTGTCTCTTACCTACTAATTCATATATCAATTATAACCATACGTACACCCTTCTCAATTGTATACTAGTAAGTCTTATTCTCTATAAATTTTTACAAGATCACTTTTGTCCCTTTTCCTTTATATAAAGGGACTAAAACATAATTCTCTGCGAATCCTAGGTATCCCTCTCAACATTTAGTTAAACAAAAGTACCAACATCTCCAACACTATATCCCCCCTTGTTTTAACATTCAGTCATATCCCACATTCAGCTGCTTGTACCCTTACATTTTAGTTAAGGCCTCACGTACCTCCCGAGAACTTACATCTGCTCTTCTCACTCCTAAAAAGGGTGTATACCTCCCTGAGCGCAGGCATGAAATTAATGCCTCTGGTGTTTCTTCCTTATACATTTAAATTCCATCAAACAATTATTGCCATCTACAACCCTACGTTCTCCACGTCACTAACTTTCCCCTACATCTGTTTTTTAAACATGACAAATCCATTATTATTCTTCCTAGGCTTTCATTAACTGTTATAATAAATGTTGAAGTGTCCCAGACATTGTTGTGGGACTAAGTAGTGCGTTATTTGCCATCACTCCCGATCTCTTCTTTCCTCCCAGTAAATCACCTCTTAAAAAAAAATTCCTGTAGCCCTTCTTACAATCTGATAGCCTTAACATGTATTACCAGTAAGCCACACTTATTGCTACTGTATTAATAAGAAGAAGAAGCATGCAGTACCATTTATTTCCACAAAATGTTGTTGCCTTTACGTGGTATGGTTTGTTTGCAGTCGTGTCATTACGATTTTGTGAGTCACAGTAACATAAAAATTCTACTTGACTGTGTATTTTAATATTCAGTAATGCAGAGCTTAATGTAAAGTTTCAATTAAAGTAAGGAATAGATTGTATTGTTAATAAATGTTGATCTCCCATATGTGATGCAGTAACAAGGTCTTGAATATTGCAGACTTCTGCTCTGCCACTTGCTTGCCACTTTACACCACTTCCCTCTTGTTCATTCAGTTATCATATTCTCAAATTCAGTAGGTGTGTGGATGCCACCTCACTTAGAATTTTATACACTGGCTGTCACCCACCGAGGCAGGGTGACCCAAAAAAAGGAGAGAAGTTTTTCTTTTTACATTTAGTAATTTATACAGGAAGAGTTACTAGCCCCTGGTTCCTGGCATTGTAGTCACCTCTTATGACATGTATAGCATAAGGAGAAAGAATTCTTCTCCACTTCCCCACGGAGAACTCTTAGGATTGAAAGCTTAGTATGTGAATTGTGTGTCTCCTGCAACTTCTGGTTCATAATGCAGTAGTTATTTTTACAAATTAATTGATTTATTACTGTACATAACACTTCTTTCTTTATAAACTTTTTTGTTGGAAAAGTGCAATAAATGAAAGCATCTCTATAGGTAAACAATCTGCACAGAGGTGTAACTTCATGTTGTTCACGTACAATAATTTTTTAGTGTTGAAACAACACCAAGGAAAAAGTAAGGTGATGAGAGTATCAAATGATTTAGATAAAGAAAAATTGGATATCAAATTGGGGAGGAGGAGTATGGAAGAAGTGGATGTTTTCAGATATTTGGGAGTTGACGTGTCAGCGGATGGATTTATGAAGGATGAGGTTAATCATAGAATTGATGAAGGAAAAAATGTGAGTGGTGCATTGAGGTACATATGGAGGCAAAAAATGTTATCTATGGAGGCAAAGAAGGGAATGTATGAAAGTATAGTAATACCAACACTTACATGGGCGTGAAGCTTGGGTCGTAAATGCTGCAACAAGGAGGCAGTGGAGATGTCCTGTTTAAGAGCAATGTGTGGTGTAAATATTATGCAGAAAATTCGGAGTGTGGAAATTAGGAGAAGGTGTGGAGTTCATAAAAGTATTAGTCAGAGGGCTGAAGAGGGTTTGTTGAGGTGGTTTGGTCATTTAGAGAGAATGGATCAAAGTAGAATGACATGGAGAGCGTATAAATCTGTAGGGAAAGGAAGGCGGGGTAGGGGTCATCCTCGAAAAGGTTGGAGGGAGGGGGTAAAGGAGGTGTTTGGACTTCCAGCAAGCGTGCTTGAGTGTGTTAGATAGGAGTGAATGGAGACAAATGGTATTTGGGACCTGACGATCTGTTGGAGTGTGAGCAGGGTAATATTTAGTGAAGGGATTCAGGGAAACCGGTTATTTTATATAACCGGACTTGAGTCCTGGAAATGGGAAGTACAATGCCTGCACTCTAAAGGAGGGGTCTGGGATATTGGCAGTTTGGAGAGATATATTGTGTATTTTTATATGTATATACTTCTAAACTGTTGTATTCTGGGCACCTCTGCAAATTATTGATTATGTGTGAGTGAGGTGAAAGTGTTGAATGATGATGAAAGTATTTTCTTTTTGGGGATTTTCTTTCTCTTTGGGTCACCCTGCCTCGGTGGGAGACGGCCGACTTATTGAAAAAAAAAAAATCACAATTCACATATCATGTCCATATACCAGAACATAACCTCTGCATATAAGAAATGATGAGTACACCTCTTTTAATGAAGTGAAACTGTAGTACATAAAACATTTTCCACTGGCATAATAGTCGGTCTTTAATTTTTGTCACAAGAACATATAGTAGTGGCAAGTAAACCTTAAAAATCTCTTCTTATGTTTAGTATATACTTATTTTTACATTCCTGTTTAGTTCTCAACTGTTTGTATTTTTGTAATATTTTTAATTTAGGAGACCTAGACTAAGACCAGGCTGAAAGTGGATATAAGTAAAAGTAAATAATGACACTGGTGAGAGAAATCCATTTTGCTTGGTCAGTGTAAATAAAATTGGATGGGATTCTTTTGAGTTTAAATGCCTCAGTTGTGTTATCGATGATAAAATAAGTTTGACTAGTAAGGTTGAGAATGGAATCAGGTAATAAACTTGGGAAATACAGTGGAAGCCATGGCCAGGGAGGGCAGCATGATGGAGTGTTCCAGTTCTCTGGATAGATGATCAAACTTCATACAGTAAAGTGTTTGAATGTGAGTTAGAGGGTAGAGGGCAGGATTAAGGAGATGATAAGTGTATGAAGAGCACTCAAGAACTGGCAAGGAATACAACTGAGTGAAAGCAGCTTCATAAAGGTTTAACATGAGTCAGTCAGTTTTGGTTACTGTTTATGTGGAGTCCTCCACATCTAGCCTACCCTCCCCATGTAATTGGGAAATTGACTGTTGAGGATGATAGTAGTCAACCAGATTGTTGTTGTAGTTAAAGATGAGGATGAGAATATCTCACTCCTTCATGCACTGTTGATGCTAAATGTTTGATGTACATTATATAGCAGGTAGTGGCAACTGCCTCATCTTCCTCCTCTGTGGTCTTACATTTACACCAAATTATTATTATTATTGCAGTATGTAATTATCATATATACAGTATGTGCAGCATCATTTCTTAATGTGTGTTAGTAATTCATTGCATTATTGCTCTAATGAGTATAGCTTTCAAGAGATGCATTTATAGGTTTAGCAACATCGTTATACCATTAAGTTCAGCTCGAGTAAATGTTTTACAGTAAGCTTTTTTGATTTAGTTCCATGAAGAACTTCTATAAAAAAAAATTGTTCTTTGGAGTTTGCAATGAGTTTTTTGATTGAAGCGAATCACGGATATCATGGTCACAGTCTGTGTACATGATAACCTTGACTCTTCCATTTTAGAAATACTCTACTGATAAGAAGAGAGAGAACTTATTGTCCTAGTGACTGCTTTTCTTTTTAATGTGTGATTCAACTTAATTTTTTATAATTCTTAAAGTATTTCCAGTAACATTGTATGTTTTCATGATTTGCAGCTTTGCTATGCAGAAATGAATGCGAAGAAATCCTTGGAGCTGCACTGTGGTGGTATGAAACATTTAAAGGTAACACAATGCTTGAGAGTAAAGGATGGTAAATATAAATTGATTGTTGAGTAAACATTGGCCAGGGAAGGCTGCTTTACCACATACAATACTGTATTTGTATCTTCATAACTAATGTTGTAAAATGCTATTGTTGTCATGATTAAAACAATACATAGATTTATGATAGTGATATATGATAATTTTATGTGCAAATATACATATAAATATCTTGTATTATAAAAAATTATGGCACCAAAAAAATTAGATAAAAGAATACCTGGGATCAGAATAAATAATAATAATGCAGTAAATGCAATAAAATTAGGCTGTATATTAAAACCATAATGGGCATAAGAGAGAAGACATTGCATCGTTATTTCCAATCTGGCATTCCACACTGGTGAATGTCTGTAATCTGGTACCAAGCAATTGGCACTAGTATTTTGCCACATTACATAAAGCATTTGTACAATAAACAGTTTGTGCCTGCGATGTCACCAGTGTTTTGCCAAAGTATACAAAAATTTACTTCATAAGAGTTGTCTTGTAGGCATTAGTTACATTTATTGTACCAAAACATGAACATGGTAATGACTATCACACTGGCACCAAATTACAAACATTGCCAGAGTATGGAGACTGTTGGACTGGTGACGTTGTAATGTATTCAGTGACAGAACTGCTGCTGCATCGGTGAGAAATATGATCTGTGAATATGTTGGCAGTGACCCTAGATTTAAAGCAGTAGTATTGGTGCCAGCTACTCACAATCCTTGTTTCACAAGGTTTTGCAGTCGATGTTTTGCGAGATTTGAAAACTTCCTTAGTATGTATACAACACAGATGAAGAATGTTGAAAATCAAGAATTATAAAACACTCGAGAAGGAATAATATGCAATAAAATTGAAGTTAAGTGATTTGAAAAGTAATAATGTTGGACTTTTCATTAAGAAAGTTCTTGTTAAGACAAAGGGAAAAGTAAAAGAGTATGTTAAGGTGCATTAGACAAGCTTGAATGTTATTAAATTTGAAGTTTAGAGAAGTAAAGTGTGAGAGTAGGAAAGTAGTTTTCTTAACATAATTGCATTAATACTTGTCTTGACTAGCTAACAATACCTATCTAGTGGGGTTATTAAATCATTGAACTGGATCATAATCATTTTGTATGCAGAATATGTAATGAGCAATCCTCTACAAGACTTAGTGTTTAGAAAAAAACTCTTTGGTAGTAATTCTTTAGTAATAGATTCCAGACACCAGGCCATTATTCTTCCTAAGTCATTTTTCTACACTACAGATATTTTACATTTTTATGTACAGTATATCATAGGAGTTTCAAGTGTATTTCTTCAAAATTAAAGAAAGAGCACCCTTTAATAAGTGAATATTTAAAATAATATTAAATTTAAATAGAATGAACAATTCTCATGTTATAAAATCATTCAACTTTTTATTTACTAATGAAAATTTTAAGTTTAGATACCTTAACCAGACAACAAATTACCAAATGTATGAATGAATACCCAGTGTTTGCCTTAAGGATTATTTTTTACCTAAACCACTCCTGACCTCATATTTTTATTTTTGCACTTTCCTTTCCGTGGCGCAGTCTTGCTTCTGGCAAAACAGTCATGGAGTGAATGATAGTGAAAGTGTTTCTTTTTTGGGTCACCCTTCCTCATTGGGAGATAGCCAGTGTGTTATAAATAATAATAATATTACCAAATCTTGGTTGCACACATTGATACTGTATTTCTCGGGTCCTTTAATTCACACATGTACAAGATTAAACTTAAACAACTGTACTTTAGGTTGGATATTTAGAAGATATATTCATAATTACAGTAAAGTAGACCATCAGAATTCTTTATGGCCTTGGGAAAAGTTAACACGTGTACCTTTTAAGTCCCAAGAAAATAACTTAGGAGATGTGCAACCAATATGCAGTTCACTATTTACCTGTTTGTGGTTGCAGAGGTCAAGTTTCAGATCCTAGCCCTGCCTTTCAACTAGCCACTTGGCAGATTCACTCCCTCCTTGCCTCATGTGCCCTATTGTACCTGCTTTTAAAACTATGGAGCCTTCCTTGACCACTTCATCGAGATCATTCTACTTCCCAACCACTATGAGACTGAAGAAATACTTGCTGATGCTCTGTCTCTTTTAACTTCCAGCTGTCCCTGAGTACCTGTTTCTCACTTCTCAAGCACCCTGTCTGCCCTGTCAATTCCTCTGAGTACTTTGTATGTATTATCATGTCTTCCCTGGTTATTCTGTCCTCCAGTGTTAGATTCATTTCCATTAGCTTCTCTTTGTGGCTCATACTCCTTAGCTCCGGAACAAGCCTTATTCAAACTTATGCACTTCTCCAGTTTCTTAACATGCTCTTTCAGGTATGGGTTTCATACTGGTGCTGCATACTGCAAAATGAGCCTTAGGTTTGTTGTACTATAAGGGCCCAGAATGGCTCTTTGTTAAGATTTCTGAAGACTGCTTTTAGATTTGACAGGAGAGTGTTGGCTGCCAAGGTTATTTGGTTGTGAGCCTTTAGTGTTATACTGGACACTGTGATCACCTCTAGGTCTTTCTCTTGGAACAAAGTCTGTAGCCTCTGTCTGAGTCTGTACTCTGTGTCTGGCCTTCTTTTCCCTTCCCCCATCTTTATTACCTTGCATTTGCTGAGTTTAAATTCAAACATACACTTATCTGACCAGTTGGAACTTTTCCATGTTTTTTTCTCCTTATTAGTTTTACATAATCAGTAAACAGGGATACATTTGACTCAATTCCTTCTGGAATGTCATTCACATAAACCAGAAACATTCCTTGCAGAACCCCCATTCTTCCACATTCTTACATCTCTTCCCTGACAATAACTCTTGGCTTCCTTTCCCTAAGATATTCTTTGATCCACTGGAGTACATTCCCTATATTCCTGCCTGCACCTCAGGTTTTGCACCAGCCTCTCATGGGGGTACAGTATCAAATGCATGTGTTTGTATGTATATATATTTGTATATATTTATATATGTATGTTCACATCTGATGGGTTTATTTAATTGTTCATGTGTAAGCAGTTAATCTAGAGGAAGTTTATTTATATATAAACATGTTGATTTTTTAATTCATTCAAATGTTTATTCTATTCATCTTCTAGTGTATACTGTTCTCTCTTTCCATTTTGAACTTGTGTTTGGAGAAACTTTTTACATATCACATACAAATCTATTACAAAATATTATTTTTGATTTAGTTTCAAGGTATTCATCCTATTATGGTAAGGATATTTTGTTGTAACCTCTATAAACAAGCTTTTAATTTTCTAATTTCTTTATTTTTCACTGGTTAAAATTTCTATATAATTTTCATTTTTTTTATATTGTGCATGAATATGTTCATAGAAGTTAGATGTGTACAGGGACGGGCATGCATTGCTACTAATATTGTTTATTGGTAGAAAATTTTGGGTATAGAAACATCATGTTATTCCAAGCTTTCAAAGGTGATATTTTGAATTCTCTCCATTTGTAGATTGTTACTTGTAACTTGGTTCTTGAGGTACTGTATAGGCTCAGGACACCTTACTGTTGCTTGACCTCTCAGTCTGAACTTATGAAAGGTCAGGGCACAGTCATATAGGTTTTATTATTTTGAAAATTTACCGAAAGTTAAAATACTTTTGTCAAGTAAATGAATAGTTGAGTGACACCATTATTAATATGATGTATGAAGGGGTTGTTTTAATCAGTGCAAGACAGACTTGGAGTCCGTTTTCGCTGGGTAAAACGATTAGCCTCCATTTGTAGTGAAGTGTTTTATACATTTACGTATTATACTTATTTATGGACTTTCCTAACTATATGCATACTTCATATGAAGACCTAATGAAAATATTGAGGATTTTTGCAACCAGAATTATCTGGATTTTAGTGTATTTAGTATTGGTTGTGTATGTAACTATTGAATTAACATTAAACACTAGCTCTGGTGAAAGAATATATTATTACTAGTGACTGGCAACTTTAAACAAACATGCATTAATTGAATCTTAAATGGTTATATGTCTAGTATACATAATTCACAATATTAGTTAAATTCAACTGAGTTTGAGGACCTTTTATTAACAATAGTCAAATTGTGTATGTGTGTGTGTGTCAATGATACCCATATGGTAATTACAAAGATATGGAATACGTTGTTAAATGGACTATTGAGTGTTTTCATTTTTGGTCTTGTCTTTTGAGTTAGGTTAGGTAGGATTCATCAGAAAGGAGGACATTTGTCTACTGCCGTGGGTCTGGGTCATATGATGATCCTCCACTGGAGCTTTCGGTCATCTGACCGAGACCTTACACTGGTTTACTGGTTCACCCCTTTAAAAAAATTTATTAATTGTTTGTGTGATATTTGCCAACTGTTTGATAGTCTTCTGAGTGTTATTCATCAACTGCTTGATCAGATCTATGTCAGATAAGAAATGTGTTAGTAGCAGGATGTGTGTTGATTTTAATGGATAAAGAATATCTTATTTTAAGTAATTGTTATGCATTACTGTATGAGTGAATTTTTAGAGGTGAGACATTAATTTGCTTGGTATTATGTTTATTATAGTACTGATGTGCATAGTAATATCAGTGGTGTGAGTCTAGTATAAATGCACAGTATAATGTCCAATGTGAATAATATACTTGTGTGTATGTATGTATGTCAGTGTATGAAGGCAGCCATTTAAAATTGGGAGCATTCATTAAATGGTTGGACAATTTGTATTTGGATAACATGGTGTAAATATAGCGTTTTAACCATTTTATGACAAACTTTTAAGTGTTTTCATTAGGCGAAGCAGTTTCCCTGTCTATAAGAGGCTTTTCTAGTACTTTTGTATTATGAAAGCTTATAGTTATGTGCATTAACCCATATAGTGATATATGTGGGTTATTGGTGTGAAGTTGGGGATGATCCGTTGGCAACTCTTTTACATTTTTCAGCAGAATGCTGCTATTGCTTTAAAACATTG